ATTATATAATTTATATAATATAATATAAAATATTTAATTATTTTAGTTAAGATATATAATATTTAAATTATATAAATAGTTTATATATTTTATATAAATAAAACATTTATATTATATATTAATTATCTAAAATAATTAATCATCGAATTTGAATTCGATTATTTGTTTTATATCTTGCAGCATTAATTTGCAAATTAATATATACAAATTATCAATATTTGTTCCTTTGGTCAGAGCTTCAACTCCATTTGTTCCCAATTTGAAAGTACATATATCTGTCATCCCATTTGATAGTAACCACTGTGCTTCTATTCTTGCAATCCACATAAGCCTGGTTCATTCCAAACTTGTATTTGATGAGTTTTGCTGAATAGTTAGTAACCTTGTTTCCACCAATTCCACTTATCAAAGTATAAGTCATAAAACACTGAGTACCCTAGGAGTAGAAAAGGTTTGAAAGATAGAAACTTGCTTAGAATTGAATTTGGTTACGAAATTAATATTTGTATTAATTTGTGATGTGCTGAAAATTAAGCTCGTTAATTTGTATGAACAGGCAACGGAGCTCAAATGTGGAGGTCTTGTGGTGGCATGCACATTTGATCACCGAGTAGCAGATGCCTATTCCGCCAACATGTTTTTTGTGTCATGGGCGGAGATTGCTCAAGCAAAACCGATATCCATCACTCCATCTTTCCGTCGGTCCCTACTAAATCCTAGAAAACCTGCAGGATGTTATGATCCATCCCTTGATGAAATGTACATACCCATATCAATGTTGCCTCCTCCTCCTACAGTTGCTGAACTTGGAGTTCATGATGATCATCTCATAAGTCGCATCTACTATGTCACAGCTCAGGATATTGACCGGCTTCAGTCGCAGGCTAACTCTAATGGCTATAAAAAGAGAAGCAAAATAGAGTCGTTTAGTGCATTCTTGTGGAAGATGGTTGCCAAAAGCTCCAATGACGATGCCAAGAGATGCAAAATGGGTATTGTGGTTGATGGGCGGAGGAGATTAAGCATGGATGGTGAAGGCAAAACAACATGCTCAATGGATACCTACTTCGGGAATGTCCTTTCCATTCCTTTCGGGGATGAGAGTGTTAGTGAGCTTAAGACAAGGCCATTGAATTGGGTGGCAGGCGTGGTGCATAACTACTTGAAAGATGCAGTCACTAAGGAGCATTTCCTGGGTTTGATTGATTGGGTGGAAGATCATCGGCCAGAGCCAGCATTAGCCAAGATATATTGTAGCAGACGTAATATGGATGGACCGACGTTTGTGGTGTCCTCTGGGCAGCGGTTCCCTGTAGGGATGGTGGATTTCGGGTGGGGCAGCCCCATATTTGGGTCCTACCATTTTCCATGGCAAGGTGAGGCTGGGTACGTTATGCCCATGCCCAGTTCAAGAGGGAATGGTGACTGGATTGTCTATATGCACATGCCGAAAGGGCAGCTGGAGTTCTTGGAGGCTGAGGCTGCTGATGTCTTTAGGCCATTGACGCGTGGTTATCTCAAGTTGTCCATGAAGGATCTGGAGTAGTTGTTTTACATACTTATGTGTGTTTGTTGCAATGATCTAGTTATGAATCTTATGACTTTGTTGAAGATGGGAAGTTATATATGTATATAGATATAATACAATATCGATCATCACTGTTTTTCGGTCGAATAAAATTAAAGGAAAATGCTTGTTGTGTGTCCCCTACGTACCATAGTCAGTCGCTGATAATTTGAAGGTATATATGTATATATAGGTTTGTTTTCTTTATTGAAAAGTAACAAAAAAGAGAATATATTTTTATTATTCTTATAAGTTAAATTATATATATTTTTTTTTGTTGGGTTTGATTAGAGTTCAAATCATGGTTTTCAAAATCAGACTGGACCGGATGGTCGGACCGAATATCCAGGAACCGGTCAGGTGACCGGTTTCAATTTTCCTCAAAATTAGATTTTCTTCAAAAATTATTGATTTTGGTTAACAAACCGCTGATACGGACGGTTAACTGTTCGAGTGGTTTTGACAATTTTTTATTTTTTTATTAAAACGGGCTAACTGTTTGACCCGATAACCGGACCCCTGATGGGATCGGTGGGATCTGATTCCTCCATTACGACCAGCCAGTGACCATACAAGGAGATCAATTTGAATGAGAATGATTCAACACACCAAGTTTCGTAGTTGGGTTCAACATATTGGGTTGATAAAATAAACCCGAGTTCCCCTGATGAACTGAAGTGGCTCGATCGCCTTGTACATATCTCCCCACACCTACAGGACATGGATTCCTGGACAACACGACGTACATCTCCTCGGAAAAAAGGTATGATACACAACCCAAGACACCTGATGCTTATTTTTGCAAAACCTAATTAATGGACCAA